CAGAAATTATTAAGTCGGGCCCCGCCTGGCAATTATGACCCGAGCCATGGGTAGGGATCAAAATTAATAATTTAGGTAAGTTATAATTGTAAAGTTTATTGAGTTCATGAACCATAGAGTGTGTTCTCGTTCACCGAATCCCACGTATCTTGTATGGACCACTACCAATACTTACCACCGAGAAGCGACGTCCTGACCAGCTAAGGAGGATCGTCTTCACTAACGGAAAGCAGTCAAGGAGCAGGTACTACCGCCGCATCCGAGGAAAGGAGTCGTCCAGGAGCTAGGAGGAAGCAACCTCTTGACGACCTGGCAGATTTCGCTGCGTCTCTCTGGTAAATGTGTTCACCTGAAATCTTTTGAGAAACTTTTAATTTGATTCGCATGACGTTGTCGCTGACTGGGTTTGGTACCGTTAAGGTCCAACGTTATCGATCTTTTTATCGGTACTGGAGACATGTAAAAAATAGATGTCATATGTATTATGTCTACATAAACATTATATCGCAGTCTTACTGTCGCCAACTCCGTTTCTAATATGCAATAAGACTACAAAGTGCGTCTATGATTTATTTTCGATCTTTCCAATCCAGACGAGAGATCTCTCTCCCCGGTCGGTGTGCGAGGGGGTGGGGCAGTTTACACACAGAACCTGCTACATACATGCAACACACACGCACGCACGCACGCACGCACACACACGCGCGTGCGCACACAAACACATGGCGGAGAGAACTAAGCGCCCCGAGGGTAGTTATGTTACCCGCCTTGAGCATGGATGTATAATAAGAACTGGATACAGCGTCGGAGGAGGGGTCTCGTTCTTTCCTATGAGAGCTGCTCATTGGCGCATGAAGTGAAAATGGCCCAACTTTTTGAGAGAGGGAAACGTCAGATTACCCGTCATGCCTGGCTGTCAGCGCAGAAGAACCTGTATGCGCGCTCACAGAGCATATGCCCCTTAAGCCCCTCCCCCCGAGCACCCACTCTCGGCTCACTAGAAAGAATGGAGAGAGAAAATAAATCTAGATTCGGCTTTTAGTGCATTTTACAACTTTAAGGACCGAATGATTATAGGGCTATACAATAGTTCATACTGTGTAGTTTATTTAGTTTCAAGAAAATTATCCACCGATTTACAGACGTCTCTTTCCCAATGTTAGTCAACGGGAAAAAGTATTTCTGGGCCGGTCGACGTCACAGACTGATAAGGAAATTGTAGTACCACCGTTTGGACACAACGAATATTTTCCTCAGAGTCCGGCACACTTCCTGGGGGCTTGGTCTTGAGGTGGAAAATGCTCGTTGCCAAAAGTGCAATAAGAATTTAGCATGTAAGGGCGGTAACACAAGCTATTTGTCTAAAAACATTCAGACGGAGAAATGCACCAGGTTCGACTGTCTTTCTAGTAGCTCTATAGCCCCATCCACGAGTAATGTTTCCACGTCAGGTGTTATGTATGCTAGCAGC